CCCCCCCCCCCCCCACTCCCTCCTCACCTCACTCCGCTTCGGTGCCGGTTGGTGCCGCTGAACTCTTCACCCATCTGCTCCCCTCCTTGCCCCAAGTGCCGACCACCCTCAGAGAGAGAGAGAGAGAGAGATGGGGGTGAGGCACAGAGGGGGACATGTGCCCGGAGGTAAGGAATTTTACGGAATGGTGCGGTGAACACAAATCGGAAAGGCCAGAGAAAGCGGAACACTAAGAGAGAAAGAGAGAGAGAGAGAGAGAGAGAGAGAGAGAGAGAGAGAGAGAGAGAGAGAGAGAGAGAGAGAGAGAGAGAGAGAGAGAGAGAGAGAGAGAGAGAGAGAGAGAGGTTGTAGGGTAAACAAGTGGGTGGAGGTAATGAATATAACGGAAAGGCAGGACCAAAAGGGAGGGGGTTACTGGAATACAAGGGATGATTAGTACTTAACGTTGTAAATTTAACGTCCTCGAAATGTGGCTCGTCGATGTTGAGGCCAGTGAGAATTTTGTGAGACCACAAGTTCCAAATCCATGTTGATTCTCTTTGGTTCAGTTTTTCCTTAGTTGGATATTGGACTATTTCAATACCCTGAAGCTGCAAATCGGAGGCCCCATCATGACCAGAACTGATGAAATGTTGGTCAACTGGTGTGCATGAGTTTTTCTGGACTGAATACCTGTGTGGTGGTAGTTTGACCTACATTTTGAGCTGGACAGACTTAACAATATATGAGGTAGATTACATTTTTTGTTTCACGAGTGACGCTGTGAGAACGTTTTCTTTTAAAGTGGGGACCTTTTACAAAGTTGGTCACTCTAATGTAAGCACATGTTTTGCAGGTTTTTGACCAGGATAACTTTGAGGAGAAGAACATGGGTTTACCGGAGGTGAGGACGTGGGTGTTACTGCTCTAGTGCGAATGAGGTTGCCAAGATTGGGAGGCTGTCAAAGTGCAATCAAAGGGGAATCGGAGAAACAAGCTTTCATTTTGTCTGATTTTTCCAAGATGCTTTTGTGTTGGCTGTGGATGTTATGTACACTAGGTAGTTTTTGGTGATAAGGTGTTACGAAAAATAATATTTTCTCTTTGGGCTTAAGGGGTTTGTAGGTGAGAAGGATTATGCGGTTCTATTGGCTGACTTTCTCGATAATGGGCCTTTTGTGGTACCCACTGGGAGGAAGGTTGACTGTGAATTCCTGTATCCGTTGTTTAAAAGAATTTTCACGGGAACTAATGCGGCGGAGTCTAAGTGCACCACTATAGACAACAGAACGAAATATATATTTGAGATGGTTTGAAGAAGGCGTGATGTAACGATTGAAGTCGGTAGGGTTTTTTTTATACAGGTCTGTCTCAATTTGGTTATATGCAATGAGAGGAGACATGTCCAGGAAAGAAGTGGACTTATCTGGGCTGGAATAAATAAATTTGATGTAGTGGTGCACCTTGTTCAGATCAGTGAGACATTTTTGGGTTGTTTCAGAGCAACCATTGTGCAGGGCTGAAAACTGGGTTTGCAGATTTGGTGTACTTGGTCAAATAAGTCTTACTAACCAGGCAATCCCCAATGTCCGGATCGGAAGCGGGAACACCTTTACTTTTTAGAGGGTGTGGGTGGGTGAGGCGGGGGCGACTTGAATTGACTTAATGGGGAGGGGGGGGGGGTAAAAGAAAGTTATTTTGTCGACAGCATAAAAAACGAGCCCATGTAGACAGCTATCAGGGCGTCTGGCGAAGTTATCTTCCTCGACACTCATAAATAACTGATCTGACTCTTGCATTACCGGATCCCGGCTAATGCTGAAGCTGCCAGTCCTCCGAGGCGAATAAATCTACCTGACCTCATTACATAAAAACAAAGTCTTTGAATCCTCTATGGAATGAATAAATCTCTTCTCGGTTAAACCGGTGTCTTTCATCATCTTAACTATCATCATTCTTTCTCTACTTCTTTAGTGTGTTTGTCACCCTCTCGTGAATGCCTTGATAGTCGAAGCAGACTTTGTGCTGTTGAGGCAAGAGAGTTGGGCAGAGTAAGCTTGATTTGCCGTTTGGACTTCCTCTGTTGACATCCACCCCTTGGGGCTCATATTACCTTATGTAGTTGCGAGTGCCGTAAAACCTTACAAAAACGAAGAATCTGGTGTCTATGGTTTAAGGGTCATCTGATTATTCATCGTATACAGGAGACTCGTGTTCAATTCCGCAGTGGGGTTGAGTTTTATCGAGTGTCCGGGTCTTTCTGCTGGGATGTCGTAAACAAAATAAATGCGTTTGAGATGTGGTGCTTCTGTAGAATTGCCAGGACAAGTTGGAAAAGAAAAAAAAAACCCAAGAGATGAGTCAGATTCTACACTCAAGACAGACCCTGCTGAGCAAAATAAAATGTAGAAAAATGCAATACTATTGTCATTTAAAAAGACACGAGACAATTGAGAAAGAGGTGTTGGAAGGAAATATGTGCGGCTGGAGAGCCAGAGAAAGGCAACGAATAACATGGGTGGACAACATCAGAGAACATGGGCTGGAGTGGAGTGGATAATATGTCAGAATGTGAAACGGCAGCTCGCGGCCGTGAAAGATAGAGGGTCATTACTCGTCAGAGATGTCACCTCCAGGTATTCAGGTTGTATCACTCTCAGCCCCGGGTGGCCCTAGTAGGCAGAGTCAAAAGTCCGCCTCTTAGATAGTCTAAAGCGTGTCGTGAAGGACATAAAAATCACCCGTATCGAACCCTCCAAAATATCGCCACGTATAAATGCATGCATTGGCTACTTCCTTCATCTAACTCAGACTGTTTCAACTTTTCAGGTTTCTGCTCAAATGAACGTGAGTGACGATACACGTCGCCAGCCGAGTTACCAGCGACACAAGGGATTTCGTGTAAGTAAACATTTCTCTTGTTAAGAACTGTAACCCCCCTCCCCCCGTCCCTCAAACTAACATCAAAGACAGCAACAACGACAACAACAACAAGAGCAACAACAACAACAACAGCAACAACAACAACAACAACAACAACAACAACAACACAAACGACGACGACAACAACAACAACGAAAACTGCAAAAGAAATTCTGTCAAAACCGCCAGTCTCTTCCTCTGTCTCTTCCGTTAACAGTGTATATTTGACTGCTTAGGTGTTAGATTCAGTCATACACCGTTTTGTAAAGGGACGTTTTACGGAGTCTTGTGCTAATCAGTCGATTTGTAGGGTGTATGAGGGGAAAAAGAAGAAGAAGAAGAAGAAGAAGAAAAAGAAAAAGAAGAAGAAGAAGAAGAAGAAGAAGAAGAAGAAGAAGAAGAAGAAGAAGAAAAAGAAAAAGAAAGAAGGAGGAAGAAGACAGAGGCGGTGAAGTAGAATGAAGAGGAGGTAGAAGAGGAAGCAGCTGTATAATCCAACGACCATGTATGTCACACAGACACACCGCGCATACATTTTTTAAATTTGTTAACTGCATAAGGTCATATGAGCGGCAAGGGGTGGATGTCAACAGAGAAGTCCAAACGGGGAATCAGGCTCAATCTGCTCACTTCTCGAGCCGCCACAGCACAAAGTCTGTTTCCACTATCAAGGCACCATGGAAATATCTGTTCACAAGAGAGTGACAACATACAAAAGAAGTAGAGGTAAAATGACGACAGTAAGGATGAGGAAAGAAAAGGCAGCAGTTCCCCTTATGTTGTTCCTGCAAGTATGAGCATGATGCAGAAAAATAGGCCCATTTACAATTCTACTGTGCATAAGAACATGTTTATATCCCCACCCCTCTGGGAATGGCCTAAAAACACTTCTGTCAGTAGCACTGCCCTGGGGGTTTGGACGTGGGGGGTGAGGGGGGGGGGGGCGTGCACATATTAAGTGGAGACACTCCCACAATCCCTAACAGGAAAAATATTCACAGTATAATTTTCACAATAATAGAAATAGAATGGACATCAAACTCATCATGATTCATAACTACGCTAACTTGAAAAACAGCAAAGGTCAAAGTTTATTTCATCTACACAACATATTATGTGTATGTGGGCCAGTGTGTGAACACCCCTGATCTTAAGGTAGGAATGACCAACATCTAGCCTTCTCGGACAAGGGCAAAAAATCTCGGAGGGCCCGTCTGCAAGTTGCGTGCTTTAAAGATCACTTGGTTGTCTAAAATCGATAAGAGTAAACTTCGGCCACTACCCGGACAAAATTCAAAATTTCCTACCAACTGAAAATATTAGGTGTATCCCGCTCGCTCATATGACCTTATGCAGTTGCGAGCGCCGTAAAACAGTAACCAACAAAAAAAAATGTGGGTGAACGCGTGACAGACTCGATGTCAAATCAGTATTTCCGTCAGGACCATGACCTCGAGATCAGACGACCGAGCTCATCAAATTGTGATACGTCCGTCTAGACGAGATGCATAACATAATTTCCTCTTTTATTGATTGACCACAATTATTTCTTTTTTAAAAAGTTACTTTCCAACCGTACTGGATACACTATTAATATTACGATTTTGCTGATACAACAAAGAGGTGAAGGTGGAGGGTGGGGAAACTAAACGACCTTGAGCCAGGAGAATCACAGCTAAACAGTTATGCGGGGTGCCCACTACGGCTGAATCGGGCCGATCGCCCGACTCGGTCGCCTGAAACTGAAAACAATCATGTTTATTTTTTATATGGGGTGCCCACTACGGATGGGATCGGTCGATTGGACCGATCGCCCGACTAGGTCGCCTAAAAAACAAATGTGTTTGTTATTAAGTTTCAGGCGACCGATTCGGGCGATAGACCCGATCAGCCGATCCCAGCTGTAGTGGGCACCCCGTATAAGATTGGAAGGGCAGGTTTTGTGAGAAAAGTTTCTCATTTTTTGGCACTTATATCAAGAACACCTTGCCGTAAGATCTCAGAGAAATAACAAATTTTGATGTGTTGAAACGATTGCTCCAGACTCATCCTTAGTTATGTTGTGTTAGTAAGTGCTAATAAAATTAATATATTTTGTTTTTTTACTGCTGTCCTTTCGTGTGTATATAATTAATGTATGGTTGTGAAAATTCTTTTTTATGTGGTTGAAATGGTTTTTCTTGTTTCTGAGAAAGATTGTTTTTCTTGTGTAAATGATCATGTGATTGGTGTAAAGTGCCCAGAGCTTTCTAGTATGGGATAGAGCGCTATATAAATGCAATCTA